ACTTGCTGCTGGTGTAGAAATAATCCTTCACATGACTCTGGGGCAGCTTTCGTGAGGTGTAGCTGAAGCAGCAGACGGTTGTGTCAGCCCCAGCTGGAAGAGATCAGGAAAGCCAGCATGAGACTATCACTCAATAAACTGCACATTCCCCAGCCAAGAGCATGGACAACCATCCCCTTCACCAGCTGTGAAGCCCTCTTCTCGTCATGTTTCCCCAGAAAGTCAGCAAGAAATTGCTGTAAGCACCAAAGCTTACATTGCTAGGATTGCTTGTTCAATGTTTCATGCTCACTTCCAATGACAAAAATCTCTTCAGTCACCTCTCCTAAAGCCCAGCAACAAAATCAGGGGAGGTGAAACCTGAAAACTTTGATACTTATCAGTAAAATTCATCCTAAGATAAAAGGATGCTGGAAAAGAAGTCCAGTCTCAAGAAAGCAGGAGGAGCTATTCACACAGGGTTCCAACCTTTGCAGCTAAATTTCACAGTTCTGCTTCAAAATTACTGCCAGCCAGAGCAAAAATCCACCCCAAGAGAGCAGAGGGAGATGCAGTACTCACTCGGAGCAGGGGAGGCCAGAGAAAAGAGGGCAGCAGCGAGGATGATGGAGAGGCACACTGCAGAGACCTTCATTGTGGACCGCGATGAGCTGCAAGGGCAGGACCAGAGCAGATTCCTGCCGTGTCTGGTGCAAGGTGCTGGGTCTTTATAGGGATGGTGGCAGCCCTGGCAGTCAGATTTCAAGGCAAACGTGGAGTTTCCAAAACGTAACAGAGCTGATGTCACAGCACCTTTGCCTCGGAAAGGCTGAAAAAAAGGAAGCAGCAGGTTTAGGAAATACCAGAATTGCTGTTGTGTGAGGTGAGGCAAGTCTGAGCAAATTGACACCCATGTGAGGGCTATACTGACCAAGACAGGATATGAAACCTCCCTTGAGCAGCAAATTCACACTTAGATTCACCAACATGACAGCTGTACTCAGCAAACTCATCTCAGCATCCTCCCAGAAGGACCAGGAGGACCTCAACTCAGTCTCCTTTTCAAAGACCCAGGCCTTGAGGATGAAGGTGCTCAGATCTTCAAAATGGCTTGGGGGCAGTTGAGGTCCAGCCAGGGAGTCCTTGCGCCTGTGGCAGGTCTGGGATGTGCCAAGGGTGGATGCAGGCAGGCAGCATGGGCAGCAGGCACGCTCTGAGCTCTGCTGCCTGTGGTGGGCAGCAGGGATGGCTGGCACCCTGGGGACTGGTTGTAGATCTGGGCTGGCAGTCTTAACACCATAAACCACAAAATCCTCAATGCTACGCTTCCAGTACAGAGCTCAGGACCTCTGAACCCCTCCTAACACAGCCCAGCAACAGCCAGGAAGGGGAGCGCTTGCCTGGGAAGCCTGGCTTGGCTCCATGGCCTGACTTTACAAACACCATCTTCTCCCAGACACACGGAGCAAACACAAGTGCTGGTGTGGGTTTGGTACAAGGTGGGATGCAGAAGGCAGAGCAGGAGGTTCCCCTGTCCAAGGAGCGGAGAGGGACCAGGTCTCATGCTGCAAACACGGTGCCCCACTCGTCCCATGCTCATAGTCACGGGGCTTATGGCATGGTCCACCCAGAGCCCCCCGGCACTACCCTTGCCACGAGGTGACGGGTTCCCCAGGATGCCCCACGGAGCATTTCCCCTTTTTCCACCTCCTTCTTCTCTGCAACAGGCACCAAATTTGCCAGCTCACAGCCTGTGGTTTCTCCGGGTGTTTTCACGCTCAGCTCCCAGCGACAGCGGCCATTCACGAGGCACCATGAGGGCGTCTCCCCGGGATTTCCTTGCTGCTCCATAGCCCAGGCAACGCAGCGGGGACGGCAGGGCAGTGCTGTTCTGCTCCTACTCTCCTTCTTCCCCACCACGCTTCTTAGGTCTGCGTGGAGCCCTCAGGGACCTCCTCGTGCCTGAGTGTATTGGGGCTGCCTTCCCACAGCGTCCCCCCTCTTCACTGCGATGTCCCCATGGGCACCAGTGCTGCAGGAGGGTCCTCACGGGCTGTGCCAGGAACCCTGCTGGCGTGGCTTTCCCAACTCATCCTCCCAGGAGACATCCTCAAAGGGCTGGGGGTGGTGGTGTCCTGAGGACCCTGAGGACTCCTGCCTTTGACAGCACGTGAAGGACCTGGAGCTGAATCAAGTGACTGACACCACAGGGTAGTCACAAACATGTGGTGGTGGCATTTTGGGGTGGCACAGCCACATGCTAGCAGGTACTCAGGCTTTGCAAGGGACAAAATCTCAGCTGGAATTTGCCAAGGGACATCCCACTTTTGGAGATGGGGTGAGGGATTATTTATTGCTACTCCCATGTTGTGTGTATCCCAGTATCACGGTCAGCCTAGTGTCCTGGCTGGTTTAGGTACGTATTGCTCATGCCCAGATCCACGCGGGAACACAGCACGGCGGTGTGTCTCAGCCTCATCTTCTGGCTACAACAGCAACTGCATTTTGCACTGAGCCTCGACCTGTCCCTGCTGCCCCGAGGCTGATCCCGGCGCTGCGACTTCTCTTTCCAAGGAGCACTGCCCATAGAAAGAAAGTTTTTACATCCCACCAGCTGCCTCACCACACGGTCCTGCACACTCCTGGGCTCCAACACGCAGCTCCCGGGCTGCATTGCTTTCTTGTGTTTGGTGGGTGGCAGTCACTCATCTCCCCGTCCTCTGCCATCGCAGACCGAGACCGTCCTGCGCCAAGTGAACCGGTTGTGATGTGCCCAGATCTGCTGGCAGAGGAAGGAACTATGACGGTCTGTGATAAAATATCTGACAGGTCCAGATAGAGATCTAAGAAACCACAAAGTGACGCTGACGCTTCCCCAACCGCAAGGCTGACAGAGCTCACGCTCTGTTAGAGCTGGTAGAGGCAACCGAAACCATGACATCTGCATATCTGTCTGGAAGCGCAGAGTGGTTGTGCCTCAGCCCAGCACAGCTCCCTCTTCCCCCCACCCAGCATGCCCAAGGAATGGCACAATCCCCTACGACCGTCGCACAGCCCAGCCTTGCCCTTCGCTCAGCGGGGGGCTGACCCTGTGCAGGTTTTTGGGGGGTGTATTCTGCAGCCCTGACCATCAGGGCAAAGAAGCCAGAGTGTTGGAAAGATGCCAGACCATTGGTCGTGGCTCCATCCCTGCTCCAGGTCAGCTGTTGCAGGAGTGTGACACTCCCTGTGCTACTCCTTGTCCTGCTCTGCCTCCCTTTGTCCTCTCCTGCTCACCGTGGTGCCACTCCTGAGGG